GTCCATACAACCCCGTCCAATTCATTATAACCAACCCCAGAAATGAACTGCAGATGAACGTCTGTCAATATATAAATTATTTGCAAGGGACAGAAAGTAGACTGAAACAAGTAAAAAAACAAACGGTAATTAATATCACGTGGTTCTTACTGCCAAAAAATACGAACTTCGAAATTACAAGTTTGTCGTGGGTAGAATTATTCGCAAATTTCTAACGTGGTATGTACGTGGAAAAGATGTGCGTGGTCTATCACGTGATGCTTGCTGCCAAATTTCAGACACTTTTGACTGCTTTTCTGACCGTTGGAATGACCAGGCAGCCGGATTCTATCTCTACATGGAATCCACTAGCGGGAAAATAATGGTCAGAAAATCAGTTTTTTTATTACAAACTTCGAAATTACAAATTTGCAGAGGAAAACATGAAATATTATCCATGCCAATTTTGTAATATTATCTTGTAAACATTAATGTTTCGATAATTGGACCATAGTTTGTTTGTGATAGACAGCACTGTGTGAACAATTCTGATTCCAACTTGTTTCAATAAATCTTTACCCTTTTGCCTTTTTCGGTTCATTGTCTATGCTAATTTTCGAAAAATCACGAGTTCGAAATAAGATCTTTGCATCATTGCATGTGTACATTTATAACTTAACTCCAATGTGAGAGATATTTTTTAAAAATATATTTTTTCAGAGAGCATATTTAAAAAGTAGAGGAAGTTATGAGAAAATTTGAATTTTTTTTCTCCTTTCAGAATGTGTGAGATTGGTAATAAGGCCAGAGAAAGTGATTTCGAAAGGGCTTAATAATCCTTAAAATCACTCTTTCGAAAAATAAGAAAAAGTATTTTCAATGTCTCCCTATGATCGTGGACTTAAAAACAAAATTGGTTGGGAACTTTGATGATTTTCTCTTAAATTCGTATAGTGCCAATAATACCACACGACTTTAAGAATTTTAACGTTTTTCTACATGCTCAATATAAGAACGTTAATTTTTAATTTGAAAAGATATAAATCTCATAAAATTGTAGATTAAAATTAGTGAAGTGATCACTATTTTATACAACGTTGGTGGACTTCATT